GATCAAAAATGTCATACGTTTTCTTTTTCTGAATCCACTAAATTACCAAATATTAAATCAACAAAAATAATGGGACTATATATATATATATATATAATTATTCAGAGTAATAATGAAAAATATTACATAAATAAAATAGACTATAAAGATTTTAAATAATATAAAGTACACAAAGTAATACATAAATACACTGCTTCAAGCAAACAATCAATAAATAAATCAATAAATAAGAGTGAGCATATTGATGAAATTAGCCCTTAGATTTAAAAAATATTCATATACAGTATGTGTCATGCATGTTTCTAAATATGATTTCATTTTAGTAAAATAATAAATATTAAACCAACAAAAAAAAGGACCATATGGGGGATAAGTTGTCCTTGGATTGTTTATAGTCGTTTAAAAAAAAAAAGATTTATGGAGAAAATAACAGTTCAGAGACATGCATTCCTACATCTGCCAATAATGCTCTACTGTTCTTATTTGAAGAATACTAGCATAAAATGACGAGAAGAAGACCATCTCTTGAAGCGAGTGCAGGCTGTCTGAGTTGTAAGGCAGCTTCACTGAGATCAGAAAGTGTTGAATGGTAGCTAAGGGGGGCTAATTTGTAAGAGCCGCATTCACTGTATCGTTTTCAGGGCGCAGCGGGGGAAAGCCAAACATTCAGCAGTTGTCTAAACAGATTCGGAGCGCAACACTGCTCAGACATGCAAGTTTTATCCAAAACATCCTCTGTTACTTCTCTGTAATTGTTCCAGAGAGCGTTCGCTGGCCTGTTGTAGCTGTTTGTTTTGGTATCTGAATTTGTTGGGATACTGTAAGTCCATTGCAGACATTCAGCGTGAAAATATGATACATCACAGTGCGCCAGTGCATACAACACAGCAGAACAACAGAGGGGAATGGAGAAGTGCTTTGTTTACTTGCACTGCAGAACTGCGTATTTGGTTTTTATGGCACATTGCTTTAGTATAGTGCTTGTGTTATGCTGTATAAGGCGTAGTGGTTCAGTCCCCATGATCAATCGAGCACACACACACACACTGGGCTTTGGCAATAGAGGGCGCCTGTGCACAGCAGGATTTTCTGCCTTTCACAACACACACACACATCAATTCAAATTTTTGAATCCAAAAATGCAAAGCATTAAGTCCCCAAACTCAATGAAATTCACAAATAAACCCAACTGAAGATTCGAGGGTCAGGACCTTCAGTCAAAACAGTGTTCAGTCAAGCCGTGAGTACCAGGTTTGAAAGTGATAACGTCATAACGTGGATGCAAGTAAACAGCAGCGATGGGGGCCGGAGCGAACGAGGGGTTTAGGGTTTCCACTGTGACGTTTGTTTATACTGTTGTTGCTGTCTAATGCAAAGTAAACTGTTAAGGGGGCTTGGGACGAGAACTCGCCTTCCCCGTCTTGCCTTGCTGTGCCTTATCATAATACACAAACTAATTGTAGCCTCCTGCGATTGTTTGAAACACGGCCGCTCCACTTTCCTTTTTTTCTCGGCGAGCGAGGAAACCGTTTTTTTTTTTAAACAATATACAGCTCTGGAGGAGAGTCGACAGGAGGGAGGTCCCAGCGCCTTTCAGCACGTCTCCGCAGGAACACAAACAGACCTTTCCTCCCGGTGAGACCACAGGAAGTGGAGAGAGAATGGCCCTGAGTGCTGTGAACGTACAGATTCTTCAGCACATTTCAACCTGCTGGGTCCTGACACCAGACCCCGCACCCCACAGATTCACAATATATGCCATTAGTTTTTAGATACACTAGTGGTAAAATGTTGCCTGTTCGTTGTTGAACACTATTAAGGAAATAGCTGGGAAAGACACATGTATTGCTCTACATGGAATTATTTTTTTTATTAAATGTTGCCAAATATGAGAAAGTTACCAATATACTTGCCAAAATAAGTTAACCATTGTTCAGCTATGATCAAATTGCATCCTATGCATTATTTAAAGCATTAGAAAAAAACCTATATTGTTTTCAATATTTTTATGCAGTTCTTCCAAATACAAGAAACTCAATCAATGCACTTGCCTTTCTTTTAGGACATAAAATTATATTGGTAAAGTTGCACCCTATATATTATGTAATGCATTAATAAATACAAAACAAGAAAAACAAAGCAAAGGAAACAAAAAACAAACACGACTGAATGTTGTTTCCCAGTTTCTCCTCCAATCATGATTCAAATTATTAGTGCAGAATAGCATGCTAAATAGCGTGCGTAATACTGCCAGACATGGGGGTTAAAATTTCCCATGCTCATATTGCACCTTATATTATTTAACGTATTGCTAAAAACAAAACAAGAAAGACAAAGCAAACAAAAACCTTAAACCAAAACAAAATAAAACAAACCAAAAAACAAAACAAAACAAAAACAAACAAAAACAAAACCAAAACAAACAAAAAAACAAAACAAAACAAAACAATGGCATTCATAACAAAACCCCAAAACAAACAATACCATTGAAATTTGTTTCCCGGTTTCTCCTACCATCACAATTCAAATGATTAGTGCAGACTTGCATGCTCAATAAACATTTGTACGAAATACTGCAGATACAAGAAATTTACCAAATTTACTTAACAAAATACATTTTTAAGACAATTTCCCATGCTCAAATTTCACCCTATGTATTATTTAAAACAAACCAAAAACAATGATTGAAACAAAGTTGTTTCCCAGTTTAAATAATTAGTGCAGACTAGCATGCTGAATAGAGTTGGAGCAACATCTCTATGACATCAAGCAATATTACGTAAGGCATTTTATGGCATATTCTTCCCCCTGACACCACTGTTGAGCTCTTCAGAGCGCTCATATGAGGAATGGGACTCAATAGCAGTGGTGGACAGTAACGGAGTAGTTTTACTTCGTTACTGTCTATCTGTACTTTTTACTTAAGTACATAAAAAAATCAAGTACTTTTGTACTTTCACTCGAGTAAAATTGAAAACGGAGTACTTTTACTTTTACTGGAGTAATATTTTATCATACGGATCTGTACTTTTACTCAAGTACTTAATTTGTGTACTTCGTCCACCACTGCTCAATAGGCAGGTCATCCAGGATAACCCCCATATCCTGATTGCTCATATAACATGCCCTCTGCTACTAAACATGGAAATGGCAGCCAAGTTAGTGCTCAGAGTCTCCTGACTGGTAAACAGCCATTCATTTTCACACAGCTGCTTTCAAAACTTTTGAAAGTCCACTGTTTTTAGAGAATGTCACTTTTGATTGTTCCTAAGCTTTGATATCATAACTGGAAATGCACAGTGACTCTGACACTAAACACCTGTTTATTTACAGTAACTGCTGAGTACAGTACACTACCACTCACAAGTTTGGGGTTGGTTTGATATTGAAGTTTCTTATGCTCACCAAGGATGTATTTATTGGATCAAAAATACACTACAACTTAAATATTGTAAAATATCATTACAATTTCAAATAACCTTTTTTTAAATATAATTTATTAATGTGATGGCAAGGCTGAATTTTCAGCAGCCATTATTCCAGTCTTCAGAAATCATTCTAACTATGCTGATTTGCTAAAAAATGTTAAAAATATGTTATGTTTTGTTATGTTATGTTATGTTGTGTTGTGTTGTGTTCTGTTGTGTTATGTTTTGTTTTATGTTATGTTATGTTATGTTATGTTATGATGTGTTGGGTTATGCTATGTTATGTTTTTTGTTTTGTTTTATGTTATGTTATGTTATGTTGTGTTGTGTTATGTTTTTTGTTTTGTTTTGTTTTGTTTTATGTTATGTTATGTTATGATGTGTTGTGTTATGCTATGTTATGTTTTTTGTTTTGTTTTGTTTTATGTTATGTTATGTTATGTTATGTTATGTTGTGTTGTGTTGTGTTGTGTTGTGTTGTGTTGTGTTGTGTTGTGTTGTGTTGTGTTGTGTTATGTTTTTTGTTTTGTTTTGTTTTGTTTTATGTTATGTTATGTTATGTTATGCTGTGTTGTGTGTGTTATGTTATGTTTTTTGTTTTGTTTTATGTTATGTTATGTTGTATTGTGTTATGTTTTTTGTTTTGTTTTGTTTTATGTTATGTTTAATTAATCATTACTTTTATTAATTAATAATTTGTATTTATTTATTTACTTGTTTGTTTGTATATATATATATATATATATATATTATGTAGTAACGTTTATGTTATAAAAGCAGTAAATCAGTCTAGGTTATGCTATAATGCAAAAGAATCTTGTAAGTAATATATAGACTTATTGCTTATATTTGATCAAAATGTGAATTACTACTTTAAAGGAACTTTCAAATCAGTAAATTTATTTGTTAGTTAATGTGCTGACCTTTGCTAACCGTTCATTGCTGTGGATCAGAGCGGACTGGAGCTCGTGGCTGGTGTGCTTTAAGATCTCATTAGTCTCCAGCTGAAGAGCAACGGCTCTGTTTGACTGGGTTTGCTGACCAGGTCAATGGAGGCACTTTTGTCTTGACTAAGTGTGCAAGCGCTGGCAGATTCATGTGTTCTCCGAGCGCCCGTGACGACACGACGTCTAAATAACTGCAAAATGCCAAAGAGCAAGCAGAAGAGAGAGAATAAGTACATAAATATCTCTTTTACCATCCCTACTGCACCATGTGCAATAAAACACAGCCGATTGGGTGAGCGGTGGCATTCTTTAACTCTCAGAACGCTCTCAAAAAGCTCTGAGAACCGCTTTTTTTCTTCAATATCTTCTTTCTGCACACTTTCCTGTCCCTCCCCTTCACATGGGCCATTTTCTAACAATGCTTTGAGAAGCACTCTCTTCACTGACTGCTGCCCTTCCCTACAGCTCTGTTTGGATTGAACATTGTGTCTTTGTGAGCGTGTATGTGTAAGTAGTAGACGTCTGATAAATGTTTTATTATCATGACCTCTTTGTGTGTGTATATCACATTAGAGCCATCATTCATTTTCTGTCCCATTCAGTCAATATTGCTTTAAGGGCTGAATCATTTGCTGGAATAAGGCATGGAAGTATCACTGAAGGACTTCCTGTTGAAGAATAGCTGCACCTGCATTAGCATTTGAACACAAAATCGGACACATTTCTGAAATAGTTCACCAAATCATGTCGTCCCAAACCTACACTCCTAAAAATAAAGGTTTATTGGAATCTATGCTTCCAAGTATGTTTCCAGTGCACAAAAGGTTCATTATATTGAAAAAAAAAGTATGTTCTTCACACTATGGGAAAAAAGGTTCTTCAGATTATGTACGTTCTTCACACTATGAGGAAAACAACTAAAAGTTCTCTTAAAGGTCCTTGGGGGAGCCTGAAATGGTTCTTCTTCCATGGTTCTTCTATTATTTTCAAAATAAAATAAAATAAAATGTAATCAAATCAAATCAAATAAAAAAATAAATAAATAAAATTTAATACAATAAATTAAAAAAGAATTAAATTTAATTTAATAAAATTACATAAAATAAAATAAAATTGTTTCATCAGTTTAGTCCAATTGGATATGAATACTAAAAGGTACTATGAGATGTTTTTATGTTTTAAAAAACATAATAATCAAAACACTGTTATTATGAGCAGAAAATACAGTTAACTAGTAATTTCAAAGTTTCAGTCGCCTTTCCTTGCCATCTACAAATATGTGTGTATATATATATATATATATATATATATATACTTTTTTTTTCAATTACAGCATTGTTTACTATAAAATGCTTCTAACATGATGATTAATAATGCTAAATGATACATGATTAAAAAAAAAAGTATTGTCAGAAACTTTTAATTTTGCTGTGGAACATTTTGTACATAATAATACCAAAAAACTGTAAGGACTTTTCTTGCTTCAATGATACTTTATATGATTTTGCCCAAACAAACACACACAAACCCTGCTGTACGAGAGGTGAGTACGCTCACACGCTTCGCTGCTGGCCCTCAGAGCGGCACACGGCAGTTTATGGGGTACGAGAGTCGGCCCCGGGGCAGATCTGATGTCCAAGTGCGGGACACTTTGATGAATAGCCAGTTTATTGTGCTGTCAAGCTCTGCGTGTCTGTTGGGAAATTGCGTCGGCCAGGACAACCCAACTGATTGCCAAACCTGCGGCCTTGCTGATGATCAATCAACCTGATTGGCTATGGCAAATATGCTTACCAATAGAGAAGAGAAAAATAGATTACAGCACCGCACGGGGGTCTGGAAGGGGGGGTCAGGGTCAAACAAATGAAACATGAATGAATGAGAGAGGTCAGAGTATCCTGACAGAGGAAAGAATGGCTAATATCTCAATCCAGCACAAACACACAGACATATATACAGCAGGTTTGTGAGCAAGCATACTTAAAAGAGTACATAAGCTATGTGCAAAACATCTGATCATTGGGTTTAAGAACAGGCTGCCCTCTTTGGATGGAGTTAATATGTGTGTGTATGTGTTTGGCAGTTGTTTTGATCAACGTGTTTGACACAGAGGTCGTCTTTAATACACTTTGATCTGGTGTCCAGCCAAGCACATCTTGCTTTGGCACGGCCGACATGATGTGCGCACTATCAAATTGGCCTTTAATAGCCATTCTCTCTTCATTTTCTCCAGCCCGGGGGGACAGGAACGGGAGAAGGGCTCATTTTTTATCACTAACTACATTGCCTACGAAGACGCTTACGAATGTTTTCAAGAGATCGCCACACATGGAAAAGGGGCAAGTTGTCACAGCATTTATTTCAGTGAATATTTCTCATGATATGTTTTTTTGTGTGTGTGTAGATTTTTGAAAGTTAAGTTTCATACAGAAGCACACTTTGAGGTCTTGCTAAAAAAAAAAAAAA